CACGGGGAAGACCTATACACGAGGTTTTAGGGTAAAAGGCGAAGTAGACTAGCAGATACCGTTTGCGGAATCGGTTACGACATGAAAATGTTAAGTACTAGTCAGATAAAAGATTGAGACGAGTGGTAGGCTAGCAGTGCCCGTTTCGGAGTCGAATACGACATGAAAATGTAGTTTTACAACCCAGTTGAACGATTAACGAGACCATGGCGGGTTAGCCGAGGTCATTTGCCGTCAAAAAGTAAAATTTCGATTTGAGGACGGTGCTGTGGATGGTGGTTCCCGTCGCAGTCTCCCTACCGTAATCCCCACTTATTCGGATCTTCTGCCCCGGAAGGCTCAAAACTACAAATCGTGGACGGGAAAGGAAGAAATTTGTGGGTTTTGCGATTTTCCTCGCGTAATCAAATAGCCGCCTTTCAATGAGATCTTTTTCAAACATTTTTATGGCGTAACTGAATGAACCAAGCGCTCTTTTACTAGCGTAATCGAAGGATCCGAAGTGAATTGCCTGCCGTAATCGATTAAACCTATGCTATTTTCATCGGGTAATCGAATTTTCTGCGCGATATCGTTTCTATGGCGTAATCGGTTACGCAGAGCTGATTTTTAGCGTGTAACCAGATAAGCCTATACGATTTTTATAACGTAATCGAATAACCAGACCCGAATTTCATGCCGTAATCCAATAAGCGGACACGATTTTCCCAGCGTAACCGGATGGCCTGGCTTTTCATCGCGTAATCCATTGCAGAGAACTTTTTTAATGGCGTAATCGGATCAACCTCAGCGCTTTTAGTGCCGTAATCAGTTATCCTACTGCTATTTAGATGGCGTAATCAGTTTATAAATCCTAATTTTGTCGCGTAATCGGATAAACATGGGCCATTTTCACGGCGTAATCGAATGGCCTGGGCCGTTTTCCTCGCGTCCCTGATTCGTCATTTCAATAGCGTAATCGGCTAAGCAAAGACATCCCTTGACTTGATGACGTTGACGGTTTCATGGTCAGCAATTTCAGCACGTAATCGGATAAGCACCGCGCTATTTTTGGGGCGTAATCGGTTAAGATGAGCAAAATAACTGAAAAAGATTCCGTTTTTGCGCTTATATTATTTTTAACGCGACGATCTTGCAGCGCACGTGAAGCCGGATTTCCCGTACGTGGGCGAGGTGTTGGAGCAGTCAATCTTTGAGAAAAGCCCCGAAGATCCGATCAAATATGTCGAGCGACTGGCTTTTCATCTGTTCCACGACAGTCTCGACAAATTGTTCTCCGAACAGGTAATTTTTAGGGGTTTGTCCGGAATTTTCGGGTTCAGTGGCCGACAGTTTACAATTTCCCAAAGTTTCCCTGCTCGTTGGCCCCATTTTTTTGCATTTTCCGCTTAGCTGGCTATCAGTCTAGCCATTCCTAAAGATTGCCTGCTCGTTTGCCGCAGTTTTAGCCAATTACTTGGCTAATTGGTTTCCAGATAAGCCGAATTTCAAGATTTCCCCCTTTTTATCACCTCCCCAAAGAATCCCTGCTCGTTCGCCGATATTTGTTGGGATTTTCCGTTTATCTGACTGCCATTCTAGCCATTCCCAACGATTCCCTGCACGTTTGCCCATTTCCGCAAAGAATCTCTGCCATTAACCTTTTTTTGATTTTCAGGACGGCGCCCGTAAGGAATGGCTGCGTGATATGGTGGATTATCGATTTCCGATTGAGGAGAAATTGAAGCGGGATTCGAGATGGAAGGTCTGTCAGCGAAGCCACGCCCCCTTTCTGCCTTCAAGGGGCCTTTAAAAGGCGGCAAGCCGAAAACGTTCCGGAAAATCCATAGAAAAGGCCGCAGGCTCTCCCTTCAAAGCGCCTCTAAAAGCGAATACTGACCGGCAGGCTAGCAGAGAATCTTGAGGAATGCTCCGAATGACTGCCAGTTCCCCTTAAATCTCGGATTTTGCAGGTTTGCGGCGCGGCGGCGAATCGGAATCGGCTGAAGCACGTCGTCAATGGTGTCGGTGAGCCATTTTATGACTTCAGATTAGCGAGGGAAGGCTGTTGAAAGCTTGACTGCACGCCAGCTAGCAGAGATCTTTTGTGGAAATTGCCAAAAAATTGAGAGGGGCACGCTAGCTGGGATTATTTTGCGCGAAAAAAGAAAATCTGTTCATTCCGGGGCAATCCAACATGGATTCCTTGCGGAAATGGCCCTAAAACTGGATCTGGAGGCCAGCTAGCAGAGATCCTGGCGGAAATTGTCGCAAAACCAAGCTTGCGCAGGCTAGCAGCGAGAATTTGCTCGAAAAAACCGGGATTTCGGTGATTTTTTGTGCCAAAAAATGAAAAGCCCTTGATTTCCGGGCAATTTAACATAGATTTTTTGCCGATGGCGCAAAAAACCTAATTTGGATGCCAGCTAGCAGAGATCCTTTGCGGAATTCCCCCCATTTCCAGTGCTCGCCTACCCGTACGTGACCAAGGAGTTCGAGGAGGAATGTCTGCGGGCAGCCCGCGGCAACCCTACCGTATACGCCGAAATGATGGGCAGAGGGCTCTTTCATGAGTCTATTAATGTCTCCTTCAAGGTATCGCTTATTCCCGGGATTTTCAGAGATTTTCCCCAGAAAAACCCAAAAGCAAAAAGTTGGTCGTGCCCGGGCGTCGAACCCGGGTCATTTTTCTGGCAGTTTGCAGTGTAGATGAGATTCTGTCGTTTGTAGCCTGTAGTCTGGCTGCCGGTTTAGCGATTCCGATCGAAATACGCCAAAAAATCAAAAAGCAAAAGTTTGCCGCGGCCGGGGTCGAACCCGGGCCAGTTTGTTAGTACTTTGTAGCCTGGATGCCATTCTATAGTTTGTAGCCTGTAGTCTGCCTGTCAGTTTAGCCCTTCCTATAAAAATCCGCCAAGACTTTAAAAGCAAGAAGTTAGCCTCCGGCCGGGGGTCGAACCCTGGCCATGTGGGTGGCGGGCAGAGACGTCAGCCAATGCGCCACCGCGGAAATTCGCGAAGTAGCATCAATACATTATTTTTAGGACCAAGATCCACGAAAGCGGACGTGGCTTCACGATATTCTGGATCGACGATTCCCCACTTCCGATAAGATCAAGCAGATTCAGGTTCGTCCGAGTTTTTAAGGCCAACCGATTACGGCCTTGAATCATTCGATTACGCCACAATAGTGGTTTTTGGATAGATAACGTCACAAAACACTGGGTTTCAATCGATTAGACGATGAAAATAACCTCCGCTAACGGATTCCGTTTTTTTCGATTACGCCATGTAAATATTCTACGGGTTTTCGATTACGCCATCAAAATACCCGTGGGTATTTGATTACGCGATCAAAATAGACGCTTCTTATTCGATTACGCCGTGAAAATAGCTAAGCCATCCGATTACGCGCTGAAATTCGCGTCGGCTAATCGATTACGCTAGAAAAAATCGCCGCCGCTTATTCGCTTACGCCATTAAAATCTTCTCCGGGTTATCCGATTACGCGTCGAAAACCGGCCTGGAAGATTCTACGTGATGAAAATACCCTTGCCTATTCGATTACGCTATAAAAATCGACGCGTCTCATTCGAGTACCCCGTGAAAACATCTCGGCTATCCGATTACGCGCTGAAATTCGCGTCGGCTAATCGATTACGCCATTAAAAAATCCTGGCGGCTTATTCGCTTACGCCATTAAAATCTTCTCCGGGTTATCCGATTACGCAATGAAATTACCACAACCTATTTTTCAGAAATGGAAGCTCTGCTCGTCGGCGATCAACAAAAATCGAACACTTTCCGCCTCGCAATTGGCTCGTACGTGTTTTTTGTAAAGTTGTTGGCTTACTGTAACAAAGGCATACTGTAGCCTGTACCCGTCCCATAAATAGTCTCATTTTTAGCCTTCAAAAAGCACCAGGTGAAAAAAGACGATGAGAAAGCGGAGCGAGCAGAGAAAACGACCGGAAAGAAGAGAGAGGAGAAAGAGAGAAGAGGAGCAACAGCTGGAGCCGCAGCTGATGAGGAGAGGGTACGTTACACTCCTATAGACACCTCTACCCTAGCTTTTCGCCATTTTAACGGGACCATGACAGCCAGCAAACCGATTAGGCCATCAAATTAATGGTCGTTGGTTGAGAATTTAAAGCCGTAATCGATTACGCAACTTAATAGGGGGAGGCGAGCCAGCAGAGATTATTTAGGAAAAACCATTGTTCCAGGCAACGACGTCGAGTCAAGAGAGAGAGACGGATAGGAAGAGACAGACAGAGAGAGCACAGGGACAGGCGAGAGAACAAAGAGAGCAGAGAGAGCAGAGAGAGCAGAGGGACCAGACACAGAACACCACGACGACGACGACGGGGAGCAGTTCGGCAACAACAACTGTGGGAGGCGGCGTGACAAGGGCTGCAGCTGCTGCTCAACAAGATGGAGCCGGAGGACGATCACATCCAACGAGGAAAACGCAGGTATTCCATTACGACACGAAACCTGGTCGGTTTGTTCGATTACGACATAAAAATAGTGGTTTTTATTCGATTACGCTATCAAAAAAACCGACTAGCTAATCGGTTAGGCCATGAAAAGGACGGCCCATCCGATTACGCCATGAAAATATGGCCAGGTCATTGCATTACGCCACATAAATCGGGCCGGTTCATTCGATTACGACATGAAAATCGTGATTTTTATTCGATTACACTATGAAAATGGGCCTGGCGAACCGATTACGCCATGAAAATGACCTCTCTACCCTGGAATCTTTTCAGGACCCGTCAACGACAACCACCTCATCCACTTCTTCCGCCCATCCCCCCTCAAATGGCCCATCATCTTCAACAAGGACATCCTCATCTACCGTCAATTCCGCCTCTTCATCCACAAATCATCGACCACAGCCAAAGAGAACTTCATCTACAGCCGCCACATCAACAGCGGCAGGGTCAGCCACATCTTCTTCTTCTTCCACAACAGTTGATGCTCATCATCATCATCAAGGAGGACCGCCCGCTAAAATGGCCAAAAAAAGGAATTGTAAGTTGGGGAAAGGGCTGGCAGAGGGCATTTGGGAACTGATTACGCCATGGAAAGGTAGCCTGGCAGGCAGTTAGGAGATGAACAAGGCCAGTCAAGCCAGCAGAGACCATTTGGGGAATCGATTACGCCATGAAATTCCCCTTTTTAGCGATCACTTCGGTCGACCCGTCGATCACCTTCCCCTACGGCGTCACCGACGAGCAGGAGGAGGAGTTCTTTGCCGTAAGCATTTTTAGTGCAAAAAAGTAATCTTTGTATTGAAATCATAGGCTAAAATCAAAGTAAATCGGGCCTTTTTGCTAAAATCAGGTTTCATATTGCTAATTTGCAGAAAGCCCAGGGCAACGCGCCGTTCTACGCGAAATCGGTGGCCCAGCTGCTGTTCAAGGAATATTTGGACTCGTATTTCAAGGTATCCTTCAGGCTACTCGCATTTTGTCGAGCGAACGATTACGCGATACAAATCAGCAAAGACAACGAGAATCAAAATTCCAAAAGCAAAAAGTTTGCCGCGGCCAGGGGTCGAACCCGGGCCTTTCGGGCGGCAGGCGAGGCGTTAACCATTTGGCCAGGCGGGAATTTGGGCGTTTTTTTGTTGGCCAGAGAGAGGGAGAGTGAATGAGCGAGAGAGAGAGAGAGAGAGAGCGAGAGTGAGAGTAGAGAGAGACGGAGAGAGAGAGAGAGACGGAGAGAGAGAGAGAGAGAGAGAGAGAGAAAGAGAGAGGGAGAGAGAGAGAGAGAGAGAGAGAGAGAGAGAGAGAGAGAGAGAGAGAGAGAGAGAGAATGAGACAACCCAGCTAATCGCACCCCATTTCCAGGACCAAGAAGACGCGAAACGTGCGTACATTCGCAAGCTAGTCGACGTGCGATTCCCATCGGCTCGAAAGCGTGATTACGAGATGAAATGGAAGAACTGCACGATAGCCATCAATCGGAATCGGACGTCGTGGAAACCCTCTTAAAAACCCTGCTTTTGTCCACAATTTCAGTCGGCAATTTCCCTTTTTATACGGTATCATAGTTTTCACATATCACTCTATTTTGTGTTCCAATCAAAAAAGCAAATGCCCGTTTTTCGAGTTTTCTTAAAGATCGATCTCAAATAAATTGTTTTTAACGTTTAAAAGCGCTGGATTTCCTTAAAAACTATGGTAATTTGTCTAAAAATTAGGAGCCGGCTAGCAGAGACCCATTCAGGAAATCGGGCCCACAAATTTAAGCGCGGCGGCTAGCAGCGATTCTTTAAGACCGAGCAACCAAGTCAAAATTCAATACGGCGGGCAGGCTAGCATAAATTGTTGAGGAAATTTCTGGACTGACGAAAGGGCGGGCCAACAAGCGGAGACCATTTGGGGAAAGTGGTAGACTCGCGGTAGGCCTTAAAAATTGTCAAATATTAAAACATCCAAGAAATAGATTGCCTTAAAAAAGAGAGATAGTTCGTAGGGGATTTTCCACGAAATTAAGCGAGCAAATTCCAGACTAGCCAGCTAGCAGAGACCATTTAGGACTGGCCAGGCTAGCAGAACCCATTGAGGAAATTTCAGGGCTGAAGCAGGGGCGGGCAAACAAGCGGAGACCATTTGTGGAAAGTGGGTAGGCTAGCAGAAGATTGAGTACGGCGGGCAGGCTAGCCGAAACCGTGGAGGAATTGGGGGCCGGCTAGCAGAGACCATTTGTGGCAGCAGCGCCTTCTCGACAAAATTACTCGAGCAAATTCTAGACGGGCAGCTAGCAGAGGCCATTTGCGGAATGGGCCGGCTGGCAGAGGTTCTTTGAGGAACGCGTGGTGCCTGTAAAAAACGGTGTAAAAATCGTGAAATCCGTCAAATTTGGTACAGTATATTTCACACAACGCACGTCAAAAACCGGAAAACGGAAAAACAGAAATAATGCACGGCGGGAGAGAGACAGGGAGAGCGAGAGATATAGAGTGACAGAGACGCAGACAATATTGATGCTGATCAAGGGGAGAGATGAGGAAAAAGAGAGAGTACCTATTATACGTAATTACACGCTTCGGGCTGAATAAATTAAGGCCACACACGATTTGCGAGAGCGAGAAAAAATACACAGCACGAAAAATCGAATCTATACAAAGCGAAAAGGGGAGGGGATACGGTATTCCCGCGCGGCGTCGCGATTTTCATGTCGTAATCGATCAGGCGGCCGTCGGGATGCCCCACTTCTTGCAAATCTCCGCGAAACGCGCCGGGCTCGCCTGAAAAATGCGAAAATTCCAAAAAAAATTGACTTGTATGATTTAAAATTTGATTTTAAATTTAAAATAGCCATCTAAAAACGCCTAAAAATTCCCAAAATCCCCAAAATAAATGTAAAAAAAATTTAATCTTAATCAATCAATCCGGCTTCCAAAATCGACGAAAACCCTTTTTGAATTTTCGAATTAAATCGTCACATTTAAACATGCAAAAAATGCCGAAAAATTGAATTTAAAAAATCGAAAACGTTACAACATTTTTATCGATTTTCTGGCAGCAAGTTTTGAAATTTAATTTTAAAACGAGGTGGTTTCTGTCCGTAATTTTCGATCAATTAAATTCAGCTCAAATTTTAAAAGCAGCAAATTTTGTGATTAACTAAAAAAAATCAAGTTTCAATAAAAAAAATTGGAAGCGGATTAAAACGATTTTTGCAAAAAATTTCCTGCTTTTTTTGAATTTTGGAGGACCACGACTACGGCAACA